AGAATGATATCTTGCTTGGTACAGTATATGGTCAGTGAAAGTGAAATCTCCTCAAGGAGATGGATCGACAGTGGCTGCAATGATGGACTCAGCAAACCAGAGATTATAAGGATGGCACAGTGTTTCTTTCTGTTGTATGTAGGGTTGCTGTGAGTTGGAGCAGACTCAATGGCACCTAATAACAACAATGAAGAATTTATAGATGTTCTTAGAAATCTCATATTTATATGAGCATGTATACTTGCAATTTTCTCTGTCTGGAAGGATTTTCAGTGAAATTTTCACAAACATGTAATTTGCCCCAGGGGTTATATCCCAAAAGACCCCAAATCTCATATATACGTGGCTCTGCTTTACAGTGACAGTTTTTTGGGATTTGCTCTCATTGCAGGTAAAAACATCTGCAGGTAATAACTTTCTTTTTCTATCAATATAGGTATGTCTGGTTTTCATTTTTTTTTAGAGGATAAAGTTTGGTTGTTTCAATGAAATAATCATTCATTGAGCATCCACTTATTTCTTTGAGCAGTGATTGGCATTACATACATCACCTTATCCAGCATAGGAACACTGTGCGGTCCGTCTCTCTCTCTCTCTCTCTCTCTCTCTCTATCTGGCTAGCTATCAATGGAGAGTTGGATAGTTTATGTAAATTGGCTGAGATCCCATAGACAGTCATGACAAAGCTTGAGTCTGATCCCAGGCCAATATGGCTCATGACATATCTACACAATACTTTGCTTCTATGTCATAGTAGCGCACATAATTATGAGTCATAATCATAATCAACTCTGAATTTGCACTTACAGACATCTACATTCTTTAAATTTTAAAACTTTCATTCAGTCTATGTCTATACCTATTGTCTATGGCTAGTTAATAAAATTCCTAGCTCTGTCTTTTATAAAGATAAGGAAGCTAGGACTATGGAGTTCAGACAGGTAATTGTATCATGCTTATAATACGGCATGCTACTGTTCAATTACTTCACGTGTAACATTTTTCAAGCATCTCTGTTCAGAGTAAAAGTGTGACAGTGTGGTTGGCTGAACACATGGCTACTGATGCCAGAGTATTTGTGTGTGTGCCATGTGCACTTGCATGACATATGTGGGTACAGGTATACATGCACATGGGTGGGGGAGTGAGTTAATCTGCTTGACACTGCATTTTTAAAGGAAAAATAAATTACTCTGAGATTTAGGTTGATCTTTTGGAAAGAGAAATTATGGGAATTCTTGTGATTGCTATTGTTAAGGAATTTTTGACAATAATAATGCTACAACAAAGAATGGAAGTTTCCAAGAATAAGTAAAATTTTTATTAAATGATACAGGAAATCACTGAGTGATTCTAATTTTTTCCTAGCAGAAGAGTGAAGGATATAATTCATAAATATTGAATGAAATTTCTGCCATGTGGAATAGAAATTGCCTCTCTTGTTCTTTTGGCTACAGCACCTTTTCTGCTCCCCCTGAATAGTCTGTCCTTTGCCTTCTTTTGATCCATCCTTTTTCTCCACTAATTTTTACACCATTTTATTCTCATCCCTTCTTAAATCTATTATAGGCATCAACTGCATATTTAAAATACATAAAAGCAGTGTTTACAGATTCCAGAGCTATTCTATAGAGAAACTCAAAGCATTCTCTTTATATGGATGTGTATAGACTACGGGTTAATCTATAATCCCAGAATATTTGATTGTAAAAGTTTGCAGAGTTACATTAGCTCAGACAGACCAATGCCTGAAACTCTTATAATGCTCACACCAATTCTCAGGGAGAAGCTGAGGGAAGCTCATTCCAAACAAGCACAATTATTTGACTATTTGAAAGTTCTTCCATGTTCTGAACAGATATTTTATGTATCCTCTGGACTTCTAAGAATTGACCACTGGAGTAGTACAAAATAAATATACCACTACTTCCCTCACGAGTAATTTCTTACCTAAGCTAAACTATGCTCTTTCACCACTTTAAGACTCCTGTGCCTTCTGTTCCTCTCTAGTCATATCCTCACCCAGTCAACACAGAATGCTATTCACCACCTAATTTTGGATGAGTTATTACCATATTCTTCCCCATATAATTATACCCCTTGTTCCATGTTGGTCTTTCTTTCTGTGTTACAATGCTGACTTCTATTACCAATGAAACCTGCTCTCTCATAGTCACTAGATTCACCTTGAAGACCTATTCTGGTGGTTAAATTTGTGTGTCAACTTGGCTGGGCCTGGTTGACTGGCTGGGTAGCTGGATGTAGTATTGCCCATGATGAAACTGGTAATCAACTCCATGGTGGAATCTACTGTGAGCAGCTGAGTAGTATATATAGTATATATAGCTACTAAGGGCTGTGGTCTGCTTCCTGTATATAAGGAGAACCCTTGGGGAATGGTCTCTAGCTTACTTGAACCCTGCATGTAGCCATGTCATTGTTCAGCAGCCTGCCATGCTCTGCCACTTCTGGGACTTTCAGTGGATTTGAATTAATGGTATGCCATGTGGTTTGGTAGCATTGGGACTATTCCATTTTATATTGACCTTGGGCTTGTCAGCCTCAGCAGCCAGTAGCTGCCTGAGTGAAGAAATGCTTCTAGCTTTGGTGGGCTGGGAGCAAAAGCCAGAGCTGAAGCCTAAGGTTGAGGGGCTTTGTCACACAGCCCCTAGACCCTGGCACTGTGAACTCGGACTTAAAGCCTCCAAACTGTAAGAGAATGAACTATTGTTTCTTCAAGCCATCCCATTTGTGGTATATTCTTGTCAGAGCGGCACTAGGTAACCAGATGTAGTGGTTAAGTCTGTGTGTCAACTTGGCTAGGCCTGGTTGAGTGGCTGGGCAGCTGGATGTAGTATTCCCCATGATGGGACTGGTAATCAACTCCAGGGTGGAATCTACTGTGAGCAGCTGAGTAGCTGCCTTTGGGTATGTGGTCTGCTTCCTTGTACACAAGAAACAGCTCTGGGAATGGTCTCTAGCTTATGGCATGCTTGAATCCTGCATATAGCCTCGTCATCATTTAGCAGCCTGCCATGTTCTGCCACTTTTGGGACTTTCAGTGGACTTGAATCAATGACCTGCTGTGTTGTTTGATAACATTGGGACTGTGCCATTTTATTTGTTGACTTGGACTTGTTAGCCTTGGCAGCCAGTAGCTGCCTGAGTGAAGAGATGCTTCTAGCTTCAGTGGCCAGGAACAGGAGGCAGAGCTGAAGTCCAAGGTCAAAGGGCTTTCACACAGCCCCTAGAGCCTGGCACTTTGGACTCAGACTTCTAGCCTCCTGAACTGTAAGAGAATAAACTCCTGTTTGTTCAAGTCATCCCATTTGTGGTATATTCTTGTCAGAAGTGGCACTAGGTAACCAAAACACCGTAACACCCATGTTTCAGTAAATATGGCAATTTGGATTCAGTACATATTCAACAAACATTTGAATAAACTAATAATAAATTATAATTTATTTAGTCCCCATTCATGATTGCTTTAAACGCATTCTAAGATATTCTCTCAACAAGAATTTTCAAACCAGATTTGCCTGTGTTCAATTCTGTTTCCACTACTTGTTGATGGTGTTATCTGTGGTAAGTTATCTATGTCTTTAAGCCTTTCTATTTCTCATCAATAAAAGTTTAATAATATTAATAATTAAAACTTTATCAGTTATTATTCCTAACATAGGTCTTGATCTATCATGGATTATTTATATACATTAATTCACCATTTCTCTCTATACAACAATAACAATATATATAACAATAAATCATTCACAGTGAAATTAGGATTTTGATGATGAAATGCGAGGCAATCACTTTAGAAATAATTTTGGCATTGGGCAAGTTGGTATGCGGAAGAGCTTTCCGGAAGCTGACCTACAAGTGTAATTTTTCTCAGACAGCAGCTGTTCAGATGGAGCTGGAAAATCTGTGAGAAGTAGAAAGATGGAGCCCTCTGCTGGCAGTCTCAGCTCATGCAACATCCCAAGCATCTGTGGAGCACCCCGAGACTTCAGGAGTAACCTGACTAACATATCTGCCTTCCCCTCAAATTGGCTTCACTCACTATAATGAATCAGACAGAGAGCTTGATCCTGAGGTGATTTTCTCTTTCAAATCTCCTTCTCCCTGTTTACTTGTTCATGATTTGAGCATATTAGTCTCTGTTCTGCTGGTGTCCAAACTTCTTGGATCTTGTCTGTGTATTCCTTGTGAGACCTGGTGTGGAGACCACAGACCATGGCTGAGTTACTGAGCTCTTCTTTGTCCTGTAGGTTACCATGCAGCTTCACCCTTTGACTTCTGCTTTGAAATTAGGATTCATAATGACTTCATATAAGAAATGATACCTCAGACATCCTTTTGAACAGCAGCTCTTTTTCACGGATCTTGACCCATTCTGACATTTTTGCCTCTTTTTACTCATGTTTTTTGGCCTAAGATTCAGTTACTAGGTTCCTTGCATCTAATGTCCACCACTGGGACGTGCTCATATGAGAGACTTCTTCAGGGAAGACCTAAACTAACCACATAATGCAAATATAAAGTTGAGTGTGTTATGTTTTAAAAAATGTGTTTTCTGTGTATTCCAGACCTTACATCAATGAACATATGTATATCCTCAAATCTTACATGAGATTTTCTATGTAAAAACATTTTATGAAACCAAAAATACAAACATAATTGTCTATGTTGTAATTTTTATTAAATATTTATTAGAAAAAAATGGGAGCTCTGGTAGTGTAGTGCCTAAGACACTTGACTGCTGACCAGAAGACTGGCAGTTCAAACCCACCAGCCACTCCTCAGAAGAAAGGTTGGGCAATCTACTTCCATAGTGATACTGCCTCAGAAACCCAAGGAGGGGTCGTTATGAGTCAAGTCCGACTCAACAGCACATAACAACAACAACAACATTAGAAAAATAAGTATCCAAATTATAAAATTTATTTTGATTCTAATCTTCATTTGTTTTGCTTTCGGTGAAAGAGCAACTGCTACAGATGGAAACTAGAAATTATACAACTATAACAGAGTTCTTTATTTTGGGGTTAACAGAAGATCCTACAGCTTGTGTCATTTTATTTGTTGTGTTTCTAGGAATCTATGTTGTCACTTTAATGGGAAATATCAGCATAATCTGGCTAATTAGAAGCAGTCTTCAGCTTCATACTCCCATGTACCTTTTTCTCTATCCTTTGGCTCTTGTAGACATTGGGTCCTCTTCATCTGTCACTCCTGTCATGCTGATGAGCTTCTTGAAGGAGCAACCTTCTCTCCCTGTTGCTGGCTGTGTAGCTCAACTCTGTTCTGTGGTCACGTTCGGGACAGCTGAGTGCTTCCTGCTGGCTGCCATGGCCTATGATCGCTATGTGGCCATCTGCTCACCTCTGCTCTATTCCACTCACATGTCCCCCAGGATCTGTATTCTCTTAGCGGGGACATCTTATCTAGGTGGGTGTGTGAATGCTTGGACATTTACTAGCTGTTTATTAAGTCTGTCCTTTTGTGGGCCAAATAAAGTCAATCACTTTTTCTGTGACTATTCACCACTTCTGAAGCTTTCTTGTTCTCATGATTCTAATTCTGAAATCATTCCAGCCATCTCTTCTGGCTCCATCATTGTGCTTACAATGTTTATCATAGGTGTCTCATATGTCTACATCCTCATCACTGTCCTAAGGATGCGCTCCAGCAAGGGCCGTCACAAGGCCTTCTCCACATGCACCTCCCACCTTACTGCAGTCACTCTGTTCTACGGGTCCATTACTTTCATTTATGTGATGCCTAAGTCCACCTACTCAACTGACCAGAACAAGGTGGTGTCTGTGTTTTACACAGTGGTGATCCCCATGTTGAACCCCCTTATTTACAGTCTGAGGAATAAGGAGGTAAAAGAGGCGATGAGAAAATTGATGGCTAGAACACAGTGGTGGTATTGAACAAATCTGATTTTAATAATAAACTATGTATAGTGAGTAGCACTCTGTGGTAGTTCGGTTTGTGTGTCAACTTGGCTGGGCCTGGTTGAATGGCTGGGCAGCTGGTGGTAGTTAATTCCCATGAGGAGACTGGCAATCAACTCCATGGTGGGATCTACCACAAGCAGTTGGGTAGCTGCCTTTGGGATGTGGTCTGCTTCCTGTATATAAGAAGCCTTTGGATATGGTTTTTAG